GATGTTCCTCGTATCGACAAAATCAAAGGTAACCAGATCTCCAAAAGCTTTGAGCTTTCTCTTGAATGCTCCTCGATGCGTCTTGAAGTGTTTCATCTTTGCTCTGATGCATGACTCACAGTAGGGATTCTTGTAACGATGTGTGAGTAGATGCTCGATTTTCCTGGCATCTGCTTTCAGAGTTCCTCTTCTCACCATTCTACTTGCACCGTCAACAACATCCACCTCGATGTCATCTGCATCATCATCGTCAGCTTCTGGTTCACTGTCTCCGGCGACATCTGATCCTACCTCATCTTCTTCTCCAGGAGATGCCTTGAACTTCTTATTCCTCTTTCGCCTTTTGACTTTTGGAGGTTCAATCACAGGAAGGTCGTCATCATCGCACATGATTCCTTGAGGATCCACATCACAGTTGATGAAAGTCGATTGGTAATCAGCTTCATCTTCTCCTAGGGTGAACCTTGCGATCATCTCCGCCCTTGTATCGTCGGTGGGGGTACAGAAGTCACTGCCCTTGACAATATATGGGATGTTTCCCTCTACTTCTAACATGATTTTCTTGTAGTTCGGGGAAACCATGTACGGGTTGCCGCAGGCTGGCCATATGAATGTGTATCCTTCCTCCATGCATTTCTTTCCAACAGACAGTACTGAAGGAGACTCATCTAAGACGAATGGGGAGTAGGTAGAGTCAAATTCGTCGAAATGAATGTCGGCGACTCCCTTTGTGGATGTCACTCCATTTGCGGTATAGAATGACATTGATTGGTCGCTTTCTCTCACTTCCAGACCTAATTTCTTGGCTCTGCCTTTCGATATCAAATCATACCCACATCCTGTGTCCATGATGAACTTTGTTCTGGACCCTTTGGCTGGAATAGACAATGTCTTTGTATCTGCATGATCTTTCTTTCCCTCGCATACATGAGGAATGACTTTATGATGGAAAACTAGGCCGTCATCTTCGTCAAAAGACATAGTGACCGATAGGTCACCCTTTGGTCCAACTGGTATTCGGACCCTCTTGATCTCAGTGTAGGGGACCATCAGTATGCCTCTCGCCTCTGCGACCTTTTCTTCAAATCTGATTTGTTCTTTCCTCGTGTAGCAGGTGAGCTCTTTCTCATCGTATCGTTTGATGTCCGGACGTAGAGGTTTCTTTTCTACTACCTTCCATTTGTCCCTGACTGAGTAGATCGCTTCGTTCAACATGATCTCACAAGTCTCTTCATCAAAGGATACTTTTGCACCTCCTTCTCTTGCCTTGGCGGATGCAGCAATCCCTTCATCTTCGGATTCGTCCATGAAGAGTTCACCGTCAATGGCTGGGGCTCCAGGTTTCGCCTTAGGCTTCGGTTCGGGTTTTGCCTTGGGCTTTGGCCTATCGTCTCCTGAGTCAGCTGGTGCAGATATCCCTTTCTTAGGAGAGGCTTTTGGGTCATGATAGAACTTGCAATCCTTCCCTTTGTCACAAGTTCCTCGAATCCACATCCAACATACTGGCTTGTCATTCTTTCCGACAGAAGATCCTCTGGATGGTGATCTGGGTTTCTTGTGACTGAATGGGCAATCTTTCCCCATAGTGCAGTTACCTTTCACGAAGAATTTGCATGGTATCTTCTTCTTGTCTGTACTCGGACTTCGGCTGCGATCCTTTCCATCACCTTTACCTTTCCCCTTTCCCTTTTTGTTCTTGTCTTCAGGATGCTTCTTGGGATTGGGTTTCGGCTTCACTGCAGCAGCGTCTTCTGAGACAACCTGTTCTTGTTGCCCTTTTGGTTTCTTCTTCGGATCAGCTGGTGCAGCTTTCAGTTTTGGAGCAGGTCCGCCTGGTTTGAGATTCTGAAAGATATTGGCCACATTCTTCACTGCCTTCTCCTTTTCCAGGATCATCCTGTCTTCAGTTTGCCGTTCGATGTGCCTTCTGATCATATCACGTAGATGTTTGTATGTCTTCTTGGCATCATCGTCGTTCATGCTGTTGTAGGCGCTGATGTCGTATGCCATGAGGTTTGAGTTCCTGATCTTTCTCCATAGGAGATCCCGAAGAGTTTCGTCGCTCGGGACGTCAACGGGCTTCATTCCTGCCAGAATCTCATCCCAAGTGTGGAAGAACAACGATAAGTTCTTGTCTCCTTGATATTCTAGTTGGTAGAGGTGCATTGAAGTATATAAGACTTCCACATTTGATGCTGTCTTGAAATTCATAAGGATCAGGGCTAGGACCTCTCTTCCCTTTATGAGGCTTGATGTTCTCCCTTTTGCATTGATCCTCGTCCTCAACTTCATAGCTACACCTGAACCATCATCTTTCGCATCCATGACGACCTTGGTAAGAGCTAGGCCGAGTTTGGCATCGATTGAATGGAATCTTTGGTCTCCTGAGTCGACAAACTTGTCCGGATCAGGATCGTCCATGGCTTCTTTGATCCAGTCGATCCAGGGCTCTTGATCTGAATCATTGGCCGCAATGATGATCGATTGAATGAGATTTGCCTTCCATAGTCCAAGATCATTGATCCTGGGCCATGACGGAACGTTTTTATCTTTGATTCTTCCTTCCTCGATACTTTCATGATTGTAGAGGTTGCCGGTGCAAGATGAGATGAAGAGGATGCTTCTGCTTCTGAAATCTTGTCCCTCAATGATTTGTTCGCCTCGGATAGCTCAATTGATTTCTCCCTTTCCTCGGCGTACTCATTGTGGGTTTCGGCATACCATTCATACATCTCATCTCGGCTCTCTGTCATTTCATTGTACCCGTCCTTGTAGTGCTTCGCCTCCTCTTTTGCGTTCCGAATCTCATCTTCCTCGGACGCGTGGGTTGGTAACCCGCGGTCTCTGGAACTAGGACGCTTGCTGTACCGAGAGACTATGGGTGCCATTCGTGCTTCTGCTTTTAATTTCGCATTTTCCGTAATGACATTCTTTGTCTCCTTCTGACTTTCCAATAGTGCATTCTCCAGTTCTCTGATCTTCTGTTGAATTTCAGCACCATCATCGCCGAACATAGGAGCTCTCATCATATTCTCTCTTTTCAGCAGTGCGTTGGCTTCGGATAGAGCGAGGTTGACGTCTTTCAATTGTTGTCGTTCACGGATGGAACTTTCTAGGACTTCGTTGTTGAATATTTCTCATTTTGCGATAACCTCCTTTGCGACGTTTGCTTCGTATTCATGGTGGCTCGCCTTCATTTCTGCCATTTCTTTAGCAGAGACTTCAGTCTGGCATACAAACATCTCCATCCTCATGCCCACTTCCATCTCTCCTATCTCCGCTCTCGCGTTGAGTTCAGCTCCACGTGCCATAGCTAGTTGACCTCGTAGATGATCAATAACCATAGCTTCCTGATTGCTCTGATCTTGAGATGAGTGAACACTGTGTTGAAGACGTCTTTCCCTGACCTCACTGTTCCATTGTTCTTCTCTCTGGTGTTGGATCACCTCGTGCATGTTGACATTCTCATCCTGTAGCGCAATCATTCTAGCCTGTATCTGGTCAGCTATTCCGACGAAGGCTGTGTTCTCATCCTGAATGGCTTTTGATCTTCTATTGATCGCCAATGAAGATTCATTCTGTTCTTGGATGTGTCCAATTGCTGCTTGAAGCTCTTGGGACATTCTGTCCTTCGTTGCTTTCACAGATTCAAGCTCTGAATGTTCTTGATGAGTTTCTTGTGCAAGCTCTTGATATCTCATGTAGATATGTTCAGCTGTCGATTCCGCCAAGCGTAGCTTGTGCTCGAGCTCTTCAATTCTTATTGTCGCTCCTTCATCTTCCTGTGTCATCTCTTGTAGATGTTCCTGCATCTTCCTGTTGTAGTCAGACATTTGCCTGAACTCCACTTCAGCCTCGTGGTGTAGTCGTGAGTATCCGGCTTGGATGTATTCATATTCTTCATGAAGAAAATTGTATGCGTTTCTCGCCGATCTCAATTCTTCACCCAGCTGAATCTCTCTTCTTTGCTCTTTTGTTCCTCTATCATCGTCACGTCTCTTCTCTATACTCCTTCTTGGGGATCTCGCGGTAGACGTTATAGGCGATGTAGATCTTGTTGTAGCTCTCATCGATCTTCTTGGTCCTACGGGTGCAAGATCGGTCAGATTCCGAGCCGGTGGCACGGATCTTTCCGAGATTTGTGATCCAGTAGGCATAGTGATAACGTCAGCATTTGCTAGTGAATCAGTACCCATTGTAGAGTCTGGTGACGAAATGGTGTTGGGACCACCAGGAGCAGCGAATGAATAGGGTTCGCTTCCATTTCCTCCTGAGCTTGACATTGCAGGTTTCTGTAATGTCTAGTCTTGTTCTTGGTCTCGTGTAGCTCGTACTGCTATAAAGAGCGCGTACGGCTGATAACCTGCGAGTGGATCTTAATCAGCGAAGTTTGAAGCTATCACTGACGGTCCATAAGCGGCGTAGCGTCGGAACGGAAACCGCACCTTTTCTAGTCGCTTGATCCTTGAGCCAAAGTACATATGGTACATATATATGTACAAGTTGCACTGTACGTGTCGCTGCACTTCCATTCGCAGGTTCAATAGCTCGGGTGGTTCACTTTCACATAAGATTAAATCATCCACCTAATGTAGACTCTCGACGAATAAGACCCCCCAAACATGGAGTTTAAAACCTCTTCATGCGGGCTAGGGGGTGATGAATCACGAATCAAGATTCTATATGACTTGTTTTGATCCACCATTTGCTCTCCAAAAAACAGGGCCTTTAAACAAAAGCGCTGACATGTTCAAGATTGTCCAAGACCTGGAGCCAGGTGGTGTCCCCTCCCCACCGACTCAGCCATTACAATTGCTCCATTCTGTCTCCATCTTGTGCTCCATTCCAATGAACAAGCACAGCAAACCACCGTCCTGCCACTCCGTCCAGGCACTCCATCCGGAATGCTTTTCGACGTGGGCTCGGTCTGGACGGTCGACCGAGCCCAACGACGAGGCGATAACCAACGCGCGGCTTTCGGCCGGCTCGGGCTGCCGGACCGACTGGGCAGCTCAAGAAGCATCCACCTGAAGCAGCCACGCTGAAGCAGCCACGCTGGTGCGTGCGTGCGCGCCGGGTGCGACTTGGACCCAGGTTGGAGACTAGAATCGAAGATGGCAGAAATGCGACATCAAAACAGGGCCTGGTGGCCAATTTTCACCTGGAGGTCATGGTTTGGTGAGGTTGCATCTTCACCTTGCACCTTGCCAGCCTTACCATGGATGCCTATCGTTCTTTTGCTTTCTTAGGGGCGAACAACTCTGTGAAACAGTCGTCTAGTCGGCCAACAAAGAGATCCGACAGCTCAGCTTTTGGTATAGTTGGACCAGTTAATCATATAATATGTTTGACACGTGCAAATCCCATAACGACACATAACAATGATAGAAACAGTCAAAAAAGACAACAACACGGTGATGAACAAATCCTTTCAAAAACAAATGGTTCCTCCTTCTTCGTCACAACCGCCCCCTGGACCCAAATCTGGCACACCTTCATGTTCGCCGAGCTGGAAGAAGGACCGACCTGGAGGTGTAGCTCAAAGCATCGAAACGATGCAAGCGTTGATATTTTGGGGGGCCAACGCCACCTTTGTCGAGACAAGTGGCTGGCCAAAACCTTGCATTGAAGGGTGAAAAGCGAAAACATGTGGCTATAAGGACGAGGTAACTCAGGTGAGACAAGGCTCACCAGGTAGCTCGGGGAATCAATATCCACAGGATTTGCGACTACGCTATCTCTACATCCTGGCACGCTCCAGTGCACCTTGCCACCTTGGAACATTTGGGTTGCCAAACGGCTGACACATGAGCTGTGCACTTCTTGACAATATACCAACACTTATTATATATTATAGTATATTATAAAGAATCCATTCCAACACTGGAGAAACCATTCTGAAAACAACACTGGAGAAACCATTCTGAAACAACAACAACAACAACAACAACAACAACAACAACAACAACAACAACAACAGCAGCTCACAGCTGACCTGCATGTTTGAACTCATTCATTGGCCACCGGAACTTCATAGCTGGGCGATGTTCTTCTATTTTCCACCTTCATGATTCTTGAAAAGGAGGTCAACACCGACCCCTATGGATCCACTGCCATCCCTTCTGAGAAGGTGGCAATGGATCCCTAACCCAAACCATCCATGGGACTGAAATATATGCACCCTGAAATCATCAACAACAATCAATATATGTTTTTTTCTCTAGTGATTTGCATTGATTTATCACATGTTACACAGGTATAACAGGGCAAACCCAAGCACCGGTCATACAAAGAGCTTTGTCAATCCAAAGGGGGAGGGTGTATTCCCAGACGCTCATGGGGTCTCAAATCCCTAGGTTTTGAGGGACCAAGGGCTGTTTGGACCGTTTGGGTTAATCAAGAGTCTACATTGTGGATGCTCTGGGTAGGGGATGCTCGCGCCACACACTCTCCCCCCGCCTGCGCCACAAGGCTCGCAGCGGCGCTGCTGAGCATCGCTTCTGAGCGGTGAAGACGAAACCGAGAACGTGTCCGTCAGAGGAAGTGAAGTGAAAAGAGATCGAAAGACAGCAAACACCTGCGAACACGTATTTTGTTCATAAGGTCTGCTAATTAACTAAAACTCTTAGCTCAAACATATGGTGAAGTGAATGAAGTGAAGTGACGCCAATACGCTTTCTTTGTGTTTCCTTGTAGATCCACGGTGCGCTAAGGGCATCGGACCAGACCCGACACCGATCAAGCGGAGTGTAGTGCAGGGTGGCAATGTCGATTCTCCTTTCTGGTAGAGTTTGAGGCCTCCAGGTCGCTTCATGCTCGCAATGGACACATTGAGTGCCACGAAAGCCCCAGCCTCACGGAAGACGACCCACTCCCAGCGACCCACTGGAGTGAGTTGAAGGATTCGGACGACGTGCGACGGCCTTCCCAGTTGAGTACCTCCCAGTTGCGCTCAAAAAGGGCCCTCAGTTCGCTATAGGGTTTTGACCCTCACAACTAGGGTGGGTGAAATGGACCGAAGCAACATGTAGGGGCGCGTCTGGACGGTTTTTCGGGTCCTGGTCGTTTGAACGGTCACTTCACCCGGCACGGTCAGCTCAGCGGCACGGCTAATGGGACTGCCATAGGACTTCCGATCAGGCCAGGGGTGGTGCCAAAGGGGGTCAATGTATGCATATGCATGTATGCATATAGTCCATACATGGAGTGTCTGGGAAATGGACGTCCATTTCAACGTTTCGTTGTAGTGAAAGACTCTGCACGATGAATGGGGTGAACGTGCACGGTGGGGGTTCTTTTAGGAGTTCGAACCCAAATGGGTTGCGCAACTCAAGCATACTCGAGCAACCTCTTGCAACGTGGGCAATGGACCCAGAAACACAAGAGGGACTCGACGGTTCAGGATTTCCGCCTGGTGGTGCCAAACACAAGAACTTGCTGTGTTTGCCTGTTTCATGGGGTTGGAATGCTTATAGGCAGGGAATCTGCACTGAAATCCTGTGCAACATCAAAGATGTTTCATGGTAGGAGGGATGAGGTCAGATGTGAGTGTGGACCTCCGCTGGGAGGGGAATTGCCCAAGGAATACCCCAAGCCAACAGACCTGAAGGCCTCTAAACTTGGCAAAGATTCCGAATCAACATGCGCTTGGCCCATCGAGGGGCAAGGTGTCATCCCAAGGGAGTGTCATCCCAAGCAAGAGCAAACAAGTCGTGTCATCCCAAGGGAGTAGAAACAGCGGGCAAACAAAGACCATGACAGTCAAAAGAGCGGCACCAAACTCACAGTTGAGTGCTTTTCATCCTAGCCATCGGGGTTGGGGAACTAGCTAGCTGCTAGCTGCTAGCTATGGCCTCGCGGCTGCGAAGCTGCGAAGACTTGGATATCCGCCCCGTCCTCGCTCCTACTCGCCCTCGCTCCGAAAACGAGCGGGTTGCAGGCAGCAAGCGCGCGCTGCCGTCGCGCGCTAAGCTCCCAAGGTGCTGGAAGTTCGAGGTACCGGTGAGGTACAATTCCGCACCTGTCGGATGTCTCGGGCGGAAGGTCTGGCCCAGTCGTCCGTCCACTCGGCCGGGGGGTGCGCGGTTTTTTCGGCAAAAAGGATGGCCGGCGACGGTCCGGGTGTAAATGGGAGGTCTCCTATACTTGGACACCTTTAAGATCTTTTCGCATACCTTAGGTTATGACATGCATGGGATGGAGAGTCACTTGTTTTTCACTCTGCTGCTTCTGCGGGTCGGTGCTGTCTTCTACGTCTCCTCCATTTTGCTTCCTTCTCCAGTGATTCTGCATTCGTTTTCACGCGCAGCGTGGCACAGTGGTAGACCTGCAGGATTGCCTCAGGTGCAACTGCTGAACTGGCCATGTGCTGTACTCGTTTGCCTTCCGATGCCTGACTTGGAGTTCCAAACAAGTTCTCAATATAATGCCCAAACGATCCAAACAATCCATGTAAGCAAATATTGCCAACATTTGCTGGCTTTTGGTGGTGAATGTAGGTCATGTTTACTTACATGGATCCTGAGGTATTCTTTGTAAGAGTGTCCTCTACAAACGACTCCGATGTAAAGACTCTCCAGCGTGAGAACAGTCCCGGGTCTCAGACCTTTCTTCAGCCACCAAATGCGCACCAGGTCCTGGTGCTTTGGCTGGTCCAGCTTCAGGCCTAACGCGACCACGTGCCAGCGCAGCGCGGCCGCGATGTGGGCTAGCAAAAGGACGGATATAAAAGTAGCAGTGGCTTCAGAGTAGATGGCACGTCTGGGACCCCAAGTTGGGTGGGACCCCAAGTTGGGTGGTTTATATGAACCTCCGTATGCAAAACATACTGCAGAACATCTTTGGGTGCCATCGAACCTCTGAAGCCACTGAAGCAACGTGAGTCGTGTTGCCTCAAGGAACCAAGCAATGTCAAGTTCCTCACAAGTCTGGCTGGACGGGAAGTTGACATGAAATATCACCCAACTATACAACAAGTTGGCCCCACCAAACATGTAAGGACCTCTACCAGTCATGAAATAATCTAGTACTGCTATGACTGCGTTCTTTTGCTGTGGAGCAAAGCACCCTACACATATATTCCAATCTGCGAAGAAGACATTTTGAAGGTTTCTATCTGACCCTTAGGAACTTAGGAGGCTTAAGTGACCTCAAACCAGGTTATCAAAAGGTCACTTTGAAGAACCGGGATCATGTAATATCCGTTTAGACTTTGGACCCCCTGGCCGTAACCATATAGACACCAGACCAATCTGACAGGCCGACGTCATGATCACAGGAGGCCTTTTCCTCTTGCAAAACAGTCCCATTCCTACCAAGGAACCCAAGTCAATTCCAGGTGCCATTCCCCCAAACAAACAACAGTATGGAACAGAACTAATAAACCATGTACAAATTTGATCAGCGGTGGATGTTGTGGGGGGAGTTCGAATGAAGACCTCGGATGAAGTACCATCTCCAAGAATTCCACAGGACGAACGTCGGACGAAAGAGGGGCACCTCCGCACTGAAAGCCACCGAAGAATGGCACCACTTGCAGTGCCTCGAAGCCCTCCAAGTCATTCGCTTCATCTCAAAGTCCTCCACAGAAGATTCAGATTGAGTTGCCTCCCAAGCGGTCTTCATGTGTGCCATGGCTCATGATCAACAGAATGGAGCTTCCATGACCATGGGCCTTTGATCACTTTTGAGAACTGACAATGACAAAAATGGGACGAATCTGCATCTGTGTTCATTGGGGCAACGTATCTTACAATACACCTCCCGTCCCTGCAGTCCAGTCGGAGATAGGAGAACTGGATTCAGGAACTCGTATTGCCAGGCGATTGGAGCCTCTGAGGAAGAATAGCTGGAGGAGCAAGTGCTTTAGGCAGAATATGGATACCCCAGCTCCTTTGCTTCCACAAACCGGCGGCTCAGGTGCATGGATCTTTACATTGCCCGTCCCAAACCACACGGCTCCTGACCCCCACCTTGCGGCCACTGCGCGCGCCAAGGTCTCGCCTCGCTGGCTCGCTAAGGGCCATCGCTGCGGATCCCCAAGTCTCGCAGCAAGGCCCGCTGCTTCTGGAAGCCTCAGCGCCGGTCTCCAGTTCCATCAAGGAGCTTTGAAGAAGGAGCTTTGCGGCTCTGCTTGGGTCCAGACCAGGTGGTGGGGAGATGTGGGAAGTAGGGCAGTTGGTGTGGAGGAATTAGTCCCTCCTCCAATCTTACGATTCGCATGGGAAGAGTGGGCGGTCAAATCATCTGCTCTTCTGGATGGATGACCAGTGGTGAAGTACAATGTTCGCAATCCATTCCTTGACCTAGCTGTGGCATCGGTTTTCGCCCAGAGACTTCTCGCAGACCGCGTCGTGCTACAATGTTCGGAAGACAACTGTTGTTTTAGGACCAGTCTGAAGAGAACTCTGAAGAGACCTTGCCCAGCCGTTTGTATTCTGCTTCTTCTTCACTCCCAGTCTTCTGCACGCCAGGCTGCCAATGGCACGGCCTAAGGCTTGCAAAGTCACCTAACGGCCGGAACTCCGGTTGAATCGATCGGTGAGTCGAAGTCGCGAAAAGTCCCAAACTCACCTGGGCTGCATGGGCCATGCTTAACACTGAAGGTCACTTTTTGAGCTAACTCAATTCGCAACTTCAGAAGCACAGGGTCTCCAGCAGCTGGCCCAGCTTGTGTTGTGTGGCACAAAGAGAAGCAAAAGCATCATGTTTCTTTCTGGTAGGTGCATGAAGAGAGTACAGGATTGCCATCTTTCGACCCATCGTGTAGGAGGAATACGGCACAAAAGAGAAGTGCCACGGAAGCGCAACAACAGAGAAAACGCCGCTGCCGCAAATGTCCGAATCTATCTCTAGATGTCAAAGAGAAATCACCGGCGAGACTTCCTCACCTAAAACCTACTAGTACTGATGCGAATCGAATCGTTTGTCCATTTCCTGTCTTTCTTTAAAGATCTTTAAGAAATCAAAAACCGCGATGGTACACACTGACCGTCCTGTTGCCGCAAACAGTTGCAAGCCAAGAACTCACGATTCTAATTCAGCTTACCCTCGTCCAAAACAATTCAAATACTCAAACAGATTCAAGCAAGCAGTCAAAATCTCCCGGAAATACACAAGAGGCAATGAGACCTATGTGTCAACCCAATGGCCCAATGGCCATCAATCGCTCCCCCCAGTCACTGGGCAGCCACCTTGTTGGGCTTCACCCCGCTTTCCAGCATCTTCCGGAAGACCTGCTGGGCTGCACGCCCGCGGGGTGGCTGGCACTTGCCGCAGGCGTTGATCATCGAAGTCCAAGTGATCACCTCGATCCACCGAGTCGACGGCTGCGCCGGGACCGGCGCAGGTCGGTTCTCGGTCGCGCGGTCGCACCGGTCCGCCCATCCAAATGGTTTTTAAAGGACCCTCATAGACTATCCCATAAGGCACCCCAGGTGACGGGTTTATTTACGGTCACTTGACTTCTCTTGGATTGGGCCGCCATAAACCCATGACCTGGACCCGACTGGGGAGATGACCCGAAACAGGAACGACTGGGGCCCATTTCCAGGTACGACATGGTACGACACGGTACGACCTCAGGGACAAGTGCCGGACCAGTTCAGCTGTTTTCTGTCAAGACTCTAAACGTGCAGTCTTTTGGGTGGTTTAACCGTTGAACCTGAGTGTTCCACATCTTTTCTCTTCAATGTTCAGGTGTTCTTCCTCTTCACGGGCAAGGTGCACCCACTGTCAGAAGCTGTGAAGAAGTGTGTGCAGCCTCACGCATACCAACCTGTGATTGAATTCAATTGAAATCCTTGGTTGTTCAACTGATCCTGATTGTTCAACCAATGCTTTGAACTGACCCTTGAATTGAACATCCTCGCTTTAGCGCTACTTATATGGGGAACCCAGGCACAGGAACTCTGTCATATTCCACCTTTTGACAATGGGCATGCTTGGATGCAAGAAGCAAGCTCAATTAAATCTGGGCATGAAACAACAACTTTCCACACGACTTCAGGTCCTCTTGTCAATCTGTTGTGAAGAGACATAATTGTGAGTCCCCCCACAAAGGACTTGAACGGCTCTGCTGCTCCTGGCATGGTAAAATTCCAGCCACCACCTCTCAGTGAAGCCACGCTCGGCTCCAGTTGTGCTTCTGTCATGCCTCAAGGAAAAGGACGGTAGGAAGGCACTGATGCCCACTCGACACTTTGAATATCTACACTCCCTGGAACTAACAACTCCCTGGAACTAACATGGAATTGGAGAATGGCCCCGAAAGAAAGACCATGAAATCCACTACAAACAGGTGGGACTTCCACTTCCATGTTAGTTCCAGGGAGAGTCAATGCCTTGGCTCCTATTGTCAGACGTAGATGTCTACACCAACTCGTACACCAACAAACGGCATGTTGGTGACTCCTTGCGACTGGACAGTTGGCTTGCGACTGTGTCAACCAGACCCTCGAAGCGTCTTCACAGCGTGAGTCTTACGGCGTCTTCCGTGCATGGGAGCTGTGGCTTGGGCGGTGGATGACCCGGTCGTGGTAGCAATGCATCCGCCATCATACTTCAGCCCCAATCCCAAACACTTCATGGAACTGACATATATATACCTACATGTTACATTCGGGTAGTTTATTTCGGGGTCTCTTCCACTTCCGATATCCATGGATGATTTCAAGGAGTCTACCATGCAGCTGCGGGCAAACCACACAGCTTCTGAAGCTTTCTGTAAAAGGTCCAAGGCTTAAACACCGGATTCCAACATCCGAAGAGCTGGCGAGGGGGACGGATGGGCTGCCCAGCGCCCCAAGATTTAAAATCGATTCCAACCTCATGGACCTCACAATAAAACCGTAGTAAATCTCCTGGCTCGCAGCCAGGAAGCCACCAGCCTGAAGAGCCTAAAGTCTTCTATAAAGTAATTAATGCTACACCTTCCACTACGCCGAGGACGGGCCTGCTGATGCTTTTTGGCGCCGGAAGCGCAGGTCGTTGACGAGTGAAACCGCCCTACTGTGCGTGCGGTT